ACTTTGGACTCGACGCCAGTTTCCAGTTTATTATTACAAAACGCCTCCTCCTTCTTTCCGCCCCTTGTTCGCCCTGTTCCCGCGCGCGGCCCTCACGTGTGGCGCGCGCCGTGGCCCCGACGCGGTGCTCCCCCCCCTTCCCAATTTGGTGGTACGGCGCGCGGCCTAAGTCCGTGATTTGTATGTATAAGTTATTTTGGCGGGCGGGGTTTGAACCGGGCGGGGCCGGGCGGGGCCGGGCCGGGCCCGTGACTGCCAAAACCCCGGTAGCGGCGCTGCGGGCTGCCTGGGGTTGTGTGGTTGTTTGGCGGGGCTGGCGGGGCTGGCGGGGCTGGCGGGGCTGGCGGGGCTGGCAGGCAGGCGGGCGGGGCTGCCCTCGCGGAATAAGACGGCTTGAGGGCGGCCTGGGCTGCCCGCCTGCGCTGCCCGCGCGGTCCTCTTGGTCACTATACAGGATTTACATACAGAGGAGAAAAGTTCTTTGTAATCCCCCTTCCCCCTCCCCCTCCCCGCCAAGGGTCGGCCCTTTTGCTCTATGTGCTGAGCCGTAATGGACGGTGGCGACGAATTAGAAGGCCTTAGGCCCGAAGTGAAGCGGATTCGCTGTTGGCGCCTCGGGTCCCGGGTTCGAATACCCGCCCCCCGCCGCCTTTGAGGCGGGGAGGGGCGCGGCCTTCTGGCCCACTGTGCGGCGCGTCCCGGCCGGAGCCCTTCCTTCGGGGCCTGAAAGGCGGAGTCGGCACACTCCGCGGCCCGTCCGCTCCAAATGGCGTGCGCCAAGAATGCACCGGAGAGGTTTCGAAAGCGCGCGCCGTTTTTTCAGCTCGCCGTCGTCAGCTCCTCTTCGGCCGTGGCCTCCTTGGCTTGCAGTGGAGGCGTCGAGAACGAGCCGCAGTGGCGCCGCGACCACTTCAACGGGCAGACCGACGGGGTGCATCGTCACGGTGCGGACGGGCGGCGCGAAGACTCCGTGCCGTGCCGTGCCGCGGCGTCTCGGCGCGCAAAGTGACGCGTACAAGTGTCTCGGCATTACGGGCCGCTGCTGCTAATGTCTCGCGGCTGGCTCCGGGGGAGGGGAGGGGAGGGGAGGGGGCGGCCGCACATCAGTCTTGGCTCCGGCCGGATTAGACCCCGGGTGGCGCCGGACGCCGGGCCGGGTCACGTAGTCACGCGCGCGTTTTGCAAAGGTGCACGTCGTCCTTTGAGGCGGGGCGGGGCGGGGCGGGGCGGGGCGGAGCGAGGCGGCGTGGTGTGGCCCCCACGGGGCACCTTGATGAGCACCAAACGGCATACATTAGACGGCGGCTGGAGCTTTGGGGCTCAACCCCGGCAGCGCGCTCCTGGAGCCTGGTGGCTGGAGAAGGCAGTCCCACGGCCCCAGGGCGTATTAGAGACCAAGTGCTTATGATCCAGGCCAGCCAGCCAGCCAGCCTCCCCAGCCTTGAAAGTTGCTCGCCGTGCTATGCACATTCAACAGGATGTAATAAAAGCCATACGGTACCCTTCGGGAAAAGTTTTGGTGGCACACATACGCGCACACACGCGCAGCAGTGACTGTCCTCTGCAACTAAACTCTGCGTTTTGCCGTGTAGGCACCACTCGGGGGTTGGCTGCACTGTGCCGCCAGGGATTCCGGTGTGCCCTTTTTTGCCGTGGCGCGGCGCGCATCCCTTGAGCCTGGAGGGACACGGCCTGCAGCGCCTGCAGCGGCCTGCAATCGATGTGCACAAAGGGCAGGCCTGCCCGGCCCGGCCCGGCCCGGCCCGCTGGTTCAGGCCTCGGTACTCGAACGCTCTCTGCCGTGCCTCCGAGGGCGCACACTGGCGAGGCCGTGCAGGCCGGGACGAGGCCGGCGCGCGGTCTGCGGTCGTGCGCGCTCGAGGGCCTCGGCGGCCTCGGCGGCCTCGGCCAGGCTGAGCCGTGGCTGAGCCGTGCCGCTTTCAAAAGGTCAGTGTGGCCGTATCGCCTCGCCCCGCCGGCCCGCCGCGTGCTGACCTCATTCGGATATCACTTGTCGCGCCGTGCCGTGCCGTGCCGCGCCGTGGTCGTGGAAGACCCCCGAGAGGCCTTTTCATCGCGCACGACGTGGACGACGTGGGCGCGGCGCGACGAGCGCGCACTTCTTCTTGTCGTGTGCCTTGTCGCGCGTGATCCCGGATCCTGGGAACGGAGGTTCCACCGAGGACGCCGAGCACGACCGACGGCGTGGTGGTGGGGGCACGGCACTGGCAGGGCACTACTGCGTCGTCTTAATGCCGTGCTAATGAATGGCGCTGCTGCAATGCGGGGGTGGCAGGGCGCGTCGAAGCAGGCCGTCGGTTGGCTGGGCAGGCCTCGGCCTCACTGCGGTCGTAAAGACCCTCGTCACCGCCAGGTACACCGTCAGTGCGCCGTGCGCGTTACGGGATTAGGTCGTTGTGACATTCACATTGGGATCCCCCGATCCGCGTTCAGATTCGCATTGGGCCTGGCGCGCCCCGACCGGCCCCGCCAGTCCGGCCGGGTCGATGTCTTGTTTAATGGGCATGCCGTCCATTTGTTTTCATTCCGATGGACAAGTCGGGTCACGGCTGGCTGGCTGCCTGGCTTGCCGGCTGTTGGGACCCCTCCCTCCTCGCTCCGTGCTTTTTCTGGTCCGCAGCGCGCCGCGCCGCCGCGCGCAGGCAGGCTGATGGGAAAAAAGACTCTCGGTGCGAGTGGGCACGGCGTCGGCACGGCGTCACCCAGTAATTGCAACCCCCCGTCGCGGAGTACCCCCCGGGGTGGCGATGCAGTACCTCTGGTACGACGGTGATGATCCCGCCGTCTAATCGCACGCCGGGCGAGGGGGAGGGGGTAACACGCTCACCGCCCGGAGTGCTCTTGGCGGGGGCGGTACCGCCCGCCATGCCCGCCGCCGCCGCCGTCGTCTTGCCAGCGGCAGCACTGGAGGCTGAAAAACACGACGCGCGCTAAAAGCCCCGCGCTGGTTAATTTTGCGTATTGTTTTTCCGCCGGCCGCGCGGCTCGGCCCAGTCGCGCTGAGGAGCTTAATTAAAAGTTGGCAGCGCGGCGCGAATAAAGGGACGCGTGGCGCGGCGTGGTGCGGCGTGGCGCGGCTTGTAACTGATGGAGTGACTAAGTGGTGCCAATAACAGCGCGCGGCCGCGTGTTTCCAGTGGCGCAAACAGCTCCGAAAAGAGGGAGGGAGAGAGAGGGATGGAGTAGCCCGTCGGACCCGTACACACGTTTCACGAGGTTCTCCGCGATATGCAGTAAGTTGTTGTAGTTCGGCACTCGGGGGCCGACAATTACAGCGTATAAGAGCCTCGCCCCGCCCCGCCCCGCCCCGCCCCGCCCCGCCGTGCGGTGGACCTCGGTGCCCCTCGGCGGCCATCCTTGAGCCGGGCCAGCCTCGCTGCTACATCCCCGTAATGTATTCCAGGGCTGCTCTCACCGCCGTGCCGCCGTCCACTGTAGCGCGCGCAAAGCGGCGTGCAAAGAGCGGAATTCCAAAATGTTGTGGATTCCCTCAGATTACACAATGGTCGCGCGCGCGCGCGCGTGTGTGTGTGTGCGTGTGAGTGCCTGCCCGTGTATGTGTATGTGTATGTGTATGTGTGTGTGTGTGCGCGCGGAAAGCGATCCCTCAAGTAAGTGGAGAGGGGGGACCGCTCTGCTGTGATATAAGCAACGAAAGCAGCACTCCACCGCAGAGGCCCTTTTCTAAGCTTTTGGAAGAGCACGAGCGTGCGTACGCACACACACACACGCACGCGCGCTCACACACGCTGTCGGTTCGCGTCCCTGCCGCCGCCAGTTTTGGTCCCGTTATTTGTCCACCATCCGAAGTTTATTTTTTGGCCCCGGCGTGTGTGCCGCACTGTGTGGCACACTGTGCGGGGGTGGGTCCGGCGGGTCCGGCAAGTCCGGCAGGTCCACCTCGCAGATTGAGCGGGGAACGAGTCCTTTTGATTGCGCCCCACATTTGGGTCATTTGTCCACTCTGTCGCAGTGCTCCGCCCCTCTCTCCCTCTCTCTCCCTCTCTCTCCCTCTCTCTCTCCCTCCCTCTCGATTGGCCGCAGGTGATGACTCATTCCCTAATGACGCTTCCCTGCCTCCCTGTTCGTTCCTTCTGGGGCCTTTCTGGGGCCTTTCTGGAGGCCGGGCATGGCCGGGCCGGGCCGGGCCCGGGACTTGGGCGAAGTCATTTGGTCATTTGGTGCGATGTGGTGCGATCGCCCTCGCCTCCAGCGTGGCCCCAGTGTGCCTCCAGCGGGCCTCCAGCGAGCCCCCCGCCGTCGACTCGGGAGCGGACACACTGGGAAATATCACTTCCCGCACCTCTCAGCCTCTCGGCACCTTAATGAAAGGGCCGGTTGGGTCCCGTGGGCCGGGCGGGGCCGGGCGGGGCCCTTTGGTGTCGGCCGGCCAGCCTGCACTCCCTCTGTGGGGCGTAAAGGGCTGCATCGAATTGGCCGGCCAGCCCTGGGCCCCGCCGAGGGCCCCGCCGAGGGCCCCGCCGAGGGCCCCGCGCGAGGCCTTGTCAAAGGTCAAAAGGGGTGGTGTTTTGCTGACTCGATTGAAATGCCATCGCTACGCGCAGCGCGCAGCGCTCCACGCGGCCGAGACTGGCGGCCCCGCCCCACCCCGCCCCGCCCCCAGCGGCACAGCGGCCCCAGCCTCCGATTCAGTGGGCAACGTTAACGGCGTAATTGGCGCCAATTGCACGCCACTGGATGGATACAAGTCTTGTCCAGCGGCCGGCCCCGCATGTAGTGGCGTGGGATTGGATTCCCCTCCCCTTTCCCCCTCCATGCCACCCTCCAGGACCCCTCCAGGACCCCTCCAGGGGCCCTCCGGTCTCTGTAATCAAGGGTCGTCGTCGTGGCGACCACACGCGCCAGCGGTCTGTCTGTCTGTCTGTCCGTCTGTCCGTGGGCAAACAAGCCCCTCCTGTTTTGCGCCCCACGCTCTGCCCGCTTCGCGTGCTCATTGGCTGCTTTTCTCTCTGTTGCAGGTCTCGCAGGTGAGTGTCTGCCGTGTCTGCTGGCCGAGCGCCGGCCTCGCTTCTCGCGAGGCGCAGCGCCGCGCGTTGACAGCCAGATAGCGGGGATGAAGAAGGAGCGACGAAAAATAGCAGAGCCCCTACAGTGGGGAAACTGCCACCGGAACTTGGCGCAACTGATAAGCAGCTGTGAGCGACTCGCGCTGGGTCTCGGCAGGCCGGCCCCGCCCCACCCCGCCCCGCCCCGCCCCGCCCCGCCCCGCCCGGTCAGAGGAGGCAGAGAAAAGTGGCCAAGTCCCCCGACACCTTGCTGGCTGGATGCTGGCCCGGGCCCCGCCCCGCCCCGCCCCGCCCCGCCCCGCCCCGCCCCGCCCCGCCCCGAGCAAGGGGCGTCCCCAAGGCCAGGGCGGAGAGGCAGGCGAGGCAGGCCTTAACCTTCGCCGCCTTGGCCGACATCAAAGGGGTCGTGATTTCCCTCGGAAAATGTTCCGTTGCGGGACGAAGACCGCGCTGCTACTCGCCGGCAACCCGAGCCGAAAACAAAATTGAAATTATAAAAAATTCCAATGCTGTCTTAGTTTGGGAGCGGTATAGCAGCAAAGTTTGTCGAAACGGTAACAAATGTGTAGAAATCATCGTTTGGGCTGACTTTAGGCAGCCACTGCATCTAATCTAAGGCGCCTACTCGGTCTCCCTCAACGGGTGGGTACTCTTCGGGCCTTCCGCGGCAAGGCGTGGCAAGGTGCGTCCTATCAGCGACACGTCCGGTCCGCGTATCCGGCCGGCTCGACCGGCTCGACGGCCCGGAAGTGGAAACTGGGATCTGCTCCATTTAGCAAGGAGGCAGAGGGGGTCGATTCCACGATATTCAAATCCCTCACCCGCCGAGCGGCCGACAAAAAAAAATGTTTACAATAATGGGAGCAGCACGCCAAAATGGCTTTCTGTGATTGGCGATGTGAATGGCCGACTCGGCGCGACACGGCGCGACACGGCCGCGCCGTTCCGGTGGAGCGAGCGACAACGACACGTGGCCGCGGCCATTGAGCACCGCGCACCGAAAGGCCGCGCAAAACAGCGCTCTCTCTCTCTCTCTCTCTCTCTCTCTCTCTCTCTCTCTCTCTCTCTCTCTCTCTCTCTCTCTCTCTCTCTCTCTCTCTGTCTCTCTCTCTCTCTCTCTCTCTCCCTCTCCCCGCACCGTCGGGCCGCGCAGAACAGCGCTATCTCGCTCTCTCCGCGCGCAGGCCCCAATTAGGCGGCACTTTGGCGCTCGTTTGCCGGCCGTTCGGCGCCGTTCGGCCGTTGGCAGTGTAGCGGCTCGAAATTAATAAGCACGGCGTGTGGTGGCGACGGGCACGCGACGCAGCCACGCACTGATTGCCCTCTCGCCGCGCGCGGCCTCCTATCGCCGGGCCGCTGGTCCGCAGCCGTGGGGCTTTATTTATTTTTCACGTCCAACGTACAAAGTAGCCGCAGTCTGGCGGCCCCGCCGGCCCGTCGGTGCCCGTCGGCCCCTCCACTCCAGTCCATCCTGCCGGCCATTACCGCCGCCCTGCCCTGGAGCGGCCCTGGAGCGGCCCTGGAGCGGCCCTGGAGCGGCCCTGGAGCGGCCCTGGAGCGGCCCTGGAGCGGCCCTGGAGCGGCCCTGGAGCGGCAGCCTTAGCAGCGCGGGGCGGCCTGATTTAGCAGCCGCGTGCCCGGCACGCTCGGCAGGAGAAGACGCCGCGAGCACACTGTTCCTCCCTCTCTTTGGCGCTGCCCGCGAGGCGCTGTCCGCCTCCACCACGAGGTGCGCATCGCGGAGCCGCGCGGCGCTGACCCTCGTCACGGTGGCGGCAGGCGCGGCGCGCGGACAGGCAGCCCCGTCGCGCCAAAGACCCCCCTCGGGACGGCCGGCGGAGCGACGGACACACACTGCGGGACAATGCCCTCTTTGTGCGGCCTCGCGGCGCGGCGGCGTGGCGCGCCAGGAAAGCAGATGATTGATGAAATTTTCCTAGCGGATTGAATCTTAATTACTTTGGAGAGGGAAGGAGGGGGAGGGGGGCCTTGATTGGAAGGATCAGTGGCAGCCGCGCGCTCCGTGTGGAAAGACGGCCGGGGGGGGGGGGGGGAGACTGTCGTCTGCTGCTTTTGAAAATAGATCTTCGAAATGAATGTCTTTGAGGAATAATGGGCCACGCCTGTTGTTGTTGTTGTTGCTGCTGCCAAACCGGAGTGTAAAGGGGTTCACAATGGCGCGGAAGTCGCGCCTGGGACTGGAAGGGCTGGAAGGGCTGGAAGCGAAAGAACGGATTGGAACTCATTAGAATGGCTGCTTCGATGGGAGAGCGCAGCAGCGCAGCCCGCCTGCGTCCCCGGTCGCCTCGCTGGACTGTAATTGGTCCGGGGATACGGGATGCGATCGCCCTCCTGGTCCTGTAAGCGCCAGTGTACCCCCCCCCCTTCCTCACACCACCACCACCTCAAGCGCACCCCCACCCCCTAACCTAACCTATCCCACGCCCGCAGCACACGCCTGGTGCGCGCGAGGCACGGGTGCCAACCCGAGGCGCGGGCCGTAAACGGGGCCGTGAACAACATGATGATGATGATGATGACGTCACGACCAGCACGACGCCACCGCCGCGTCGTCTTGGCCGAAGTTGTCTGAAACGGGGCGGGCTGATTATTGCCTTGTTCTTGTCAACTCGCTGGCGGAGCGGAGCGCGCCGGAGCGCCGCTGTTGGCTGCCAAGGAGAGTCACGCCCCTATTCACACAACTTCTCGCCCTCCTTCTTCTGCGCGTCCACGCAACCTGGCTCCTCTCTCTCTCTCTCTCTCTCTCTCTCTCTCTTTTCTCTCTCTCTCTCTCTAGCCTCTCTCTAGCCTACTAGATAAATACATTTTAAAAAATTGCCCGGTCGTTGCGTATTGCGGGTCTTCCGTTCCGGCCCGCCCCCTCCCCTTTCCGCCCCGCCAAATTGAATTACGATACGGAAATAGTGGTTTGGATTCATAGGGATGGAAGGGCCGTCCAAAGGGATTCCTGGAAGGAATGAGACAAGGGGGCCCTACGGGGGCTGGGGGGCAAATGGTGTGTGTGTGCGCGTGTGTGTGTGCGGGCCCTTTCTGTGGGGCTGGGCCGGGCTGGGCCAGGCTGGGCCGGGCTGGGCAGTGCGGCCGACGCAGGCCTAGCGCTTGGCCTAATACGACTCGTAGAGGACACAGGCTGTTTGGGCTGTGCGGACGGAGTGCGGAGTGCGCGGGGCGGAGGCCGGCGGAGTCCCCTTCCTTTGCCAGCGCGTCCGGCCTGGACTCGAGATAGCCTGGACCGGACCGCCTCCAGCGAGAGAACAACTGTGTGCATGCGGCCGACCCGCCGGCTGCCCGTCCCAAGCAATATAACGCCAAGCCCGCTCGTCCTGCGGGAACCCTTGGAACCGGTGAGGCGGCGAGGACGAGGTCGCCGTCGGTGCCGTCGGCCCGGTCAGCGCCTGCGGTCCGCGGGGTAGGCCACGCGGTGGGCAGGCATGCCTCTGTCTGGCATTACCATTAAGGGCTAGGCCCAGTCAGGGTGAAGGAGTACATCCCCCCCGAGGGGGTTATGCAGGCCTCCACCCCGGAACAGCCTCTGCGAGCACAACCGCTTCCGGTGCGCTCGGCCGCCTCGGCCGCCTCTCTCGGCGGACGGGTTGGTCCGTCGCTCCCCTGGAGGACAGTAGGTCGCCGCCGGGTCGAGGCCGGCCTGGAGGGCGGAGGGACGTTGGGTAACTGGATCGGCGAGTACCCCGTGTCGACGGGGTCCTCAAAGGCGACTCGTAATAACCCTCGACGGGCCTCCTCGGCCTTGGCGGCCTAAACGGCCTCGAGCAGGGCGTCGCGTTTCTCAGTTTGGCGCGGTAAAGTTTCAAGAGGATGTCGCCCCTCATGTCTGGCAGGGTCGGCTCAGGACGGCTCCGCCGCGCCGCGCTCGGCTCACGGTAATCGATTTACCTGAGGTCTTTAATTGAGCGTCTGACGTGTCTGAGTTGTAAAGCACGGCGAGCACGGCGAGCGCGGCGCAGCGCGGCGCAGCGGCCCACCCCATCGCAGACTCCCCCCCCGGGCAGGACGCCAGCAGACTGATTCCGAGGAGTCGTTTCGTCGCGCCACCCTCGTCGCTCTCAAGCGGAGAGAGAAAGAGAGCGACGAGGCGGGTTTTCGAATTGGCTCGGCACCGCCAGCCGCGCCAGCCAGGGCGTTGAAGGCCTGCCCGCGAACCGAGCCAGGTCCGACGCGGCCTACCCGGGCCCGGGCCTGCCCTACCTGGCGGGGCCCTATCTCTCCTCCCGAATCGACGAAGCGGCACCGTCCTTCCTCGTTCCTCTGTCTCCCTCGCACCGCCGCGGGACGCCCGGCGGGTGCGAGAGAGACGGCGCGCCTTTTGTCGCGTGTAATCCGAGTCGGATTGGTGCAGGCCTGACGGCAGCCACCTGGATGGATGCAGTCATGCTGGTCACGCGCCCGCGTCGCCGCGTCGCCGCCGAGTGTCTCGTTAGGCGACTGGCGGACGGGCGGACGGACTGGCGGACGGGTTGAGGGACGTGGCCGCGCCGACAGCCCTGCGGACGAGGCGGAGGGTGGTCCGGGACGTCCAGGATGACATGCCGCTGGCCGGCCGGCAGGCCGTTCGCGCAGTTATCGCCGTCCTCGCTCCCCCCCCCCCCCCCACAAGGACGCCCTCCAAAGGGCCCCGGTGCGCGCGGCGCCCGCGGTGCCGGACAGTTTGTGGGTGTTTGTGTTCCGGCGAGTAATTATTGTTTGTTTCCCTTTTTCCCTTTGCCCCGCCTCGCGCCGCCTCGCGCCGCCGAGCCAAACTTTTGCCCTTTTGGCGCGCACATTACAAGGAAGGGAGAGTGAAACAAGACTAAACACACTCTGTCGGACCCGGTTTTATTCTGTTAGCTTTTAACTCGACTTGGCTGGTGACCCAGTTGGCGGCGTCCGCACGCATCGAGGATAGATTCTTCTGACTGCATCCCCCTCCCCTTTCCCCCTCCCCTCCCCGTTGAGGAAATCCTGAAGGAGAGCAGCACTCCGGAGGAATGCATTTTGCATGTCTTCAGATTCTTAAAGACCCGACATTTCACATCAGAATGAAGTAGGCTAGGACGGCTTCAACCACTGCTAGATCGGACGCAGTGCACGGTTAGACTTGGTCCTGAAAGATTCAGGGCCGTAACGCGTCCCTGAGGTAGCCGGACACCCGTTTCCAGGACGGGAGTGGCGAAATTCAACCAGTTTGCCGTTTGGTCCTGGAAACGGGTGTCATTGGCGACGTTTGTCACCCGTTTCCAGGACGGTTCGGAATGTTTGGGGCTCTCGGTCCTGGAAACGAGTCTCGGCAGGCCCAAGACGCCGAAGTAAGACCAGTTCGCACCTGGTAGCTTGCACACTGAACTACATTGTACCGCTGGGCAATGATGCGCCATTCCCGCAGTGCGTTTCATGGAAAAAATCGGCAGCAAAAAGTGGCAATACGAAAGTCTCAAGGAGACCCGCCGATCAGCTTCGGTGTTCTTATGGGAACCGGGCCTTCATCCGACGCATCCCTGCCGCGCAATTCGACAGATTAATGGAGTTCGTATTGGGCTGGCCCACCCGAAGTGCGCGCGGTTTCTGTGGTACAGTGAGAGTCCAGATTCAGAGGCCTTACCTCAGAGGGGTCACATTGGGTATTTGAACCCGCGACCCCGAGTGCCGAGTCTAGTCAACTCCTCTACCCTGACCGCTCAGCCACCGAACCAGCTTGTCGGTGGCGATGTCGCAACTCCTCTTGAGCTGCCGTTCGAGAAATCTGGTCCCGAAAAAAGGGTACCTGGAGCGGTCTCGAACCCGGGACCTGCCGCTTCCCACATCATGCTCTTAACCACTGAGCCACCGGGACACCATGGCACCCGCCCTGCCTGCGCTGGTACTCAATCTTCTCTGGATATACCTCCCAAAGCAATTGGTCGCCGAAAAAATTGTGTATACCACCGGTCCCGAACCCGGGATCTCCCGCTTCCCGCGACATGCTCTTAACCACTGAGCCACCGGGACGCCATGGCACCCGCCCTGCCTGCGCAGGTACCCAATCTTCTCTGGATATACCCCCCAAGCAATTGGTCGCCGAAAAAATTGTGTATACTACCGGTCCCGAACCCGGGATCTCCCGCTTCCCGCGACATGCTCTTAACCACTGAGCCACCGGGACGCCATGGCACCCGCCTTGCCTGCGCAGGTACCCAATCTTCTCTGGATATACCCCCCAAGCAATTGGTCGCCGAAAAAATTGTATATACTACCGGTCCCGAACCCGGGATCTCCCGCTTCCCGCGACATGCTCTTAACCACTGAGCCACCGGGACGCCATGGCATCCGCCCTGCCTGCGCAGGTACCCAATCTTCTCTGGAGGCTTCTCTGTGGCTGCCCAAAGACCGCAAATATCGGTTCGCTCCCGATTAATCCCCAGCTGGTACAATGTTGGACGCGTTTTCCTCTTATCTCCCCGCAGCGAATTTCCTTGGCATCGAGCAGCACGCGTCGCGGCGCGGCAACGCGTCTGGCGGTGACGTCACTGACGTGGATCTCGGCCGCAATTCGGGCGGCACCAACGCCCTCTGTCGGGCCGAGGCCGCCGGGGCCGAGGCCGCGATGCCCGCGAGGTGGAGGCGATGGAGCGGTAAGCCTCTTAGCGAGGCCGGCGTGTTGTGGGGCCACGCCTCGGCCTCGCCTCGGCCACGCCTGCCAAGTTATTGATTCCATTGATGTTGATCCGATTTCACTTTGTTCAAGAACGGGACCGATTTACAAGAGTCGCCGCCGACTGGGCACGACCAAGGGGCCTCCGATGGGCGCGCCGGTGGCCGACCAGCCCATTGAATGGAGCGGGGCGGGGCGGGGCGTCGGCTCCCGCAGAGGTTTTCACAATTTGGATGCGGTACGGCGGTACGAAGCGAGCAATTTCCGGACTGCGGCCGACGCGGCCAGGGGGCTGCCACACTGCCACGGGGCTGGCGCCAATCCCACGCGCGGTTCGGTCGGACCGACCCCTTGGCGCTCGCACGTCGCACCTCCACTGCAAACAGACCCCTTTTTTCCTGAGTGATAACGGCGTGCCGCGTTTTCCATCATCTCTCCAAGCCCCCAACCCCACCCACCCCGGTCTCTCTTTCTCTCTCTCTCTTCCTCATATAACTTGCCAGGACATCATCATTTTTCTAAGTGCGCCGCCGGGTTGTTGTTCTGCTCGTGGGTAGCCCCGCGCGCCTCGTGTGTTTGTGTTGGTGTGTGTGTGTGTGTCGCTGGTGCGTTGCAAATGAATGTCGCTCTAACTGTTTGCCGGGGTCGTGGAGCCAAGCACCGACCGCGCGTTCCAAATTGCGTTCTATTTCTTTCCATAATTTTCACTCTGGTTTTTTGGACGTATCTGATCCCCACACGTGCACACGACGGCGGGAGTGAGAAGGCGGCGCTCTTTTCACGCCGCCTAACGGCCCTGGGAGACGCGAGCCAAGCAGACAGCCTCATCAGCCGTGACAGACGGACGGACAGACGGACGGACAGACGGACGGACGGACAGGCAGACCGACCGGGTCGTTTCGGGCCGCCTTGGCAAGCAGTGCTGCAATCACCATCATCCCGCCAGGTAGCGCCAGCGTCGCCAAGTACCAGTGTGGCAGAGCAGTGCGGCCCCGGCCGGTACCATCGCTACCATTCCGAGCGCCTTTTTACATTTTCATGCGATTAACTTTTCATGACGGGCCAAGCGAGCGCTACCCGCCATGAGCGCGGCCGCGACGACCGCGCCCAGGACGCTCCGTGGTGACTGACGCCCTCCTTGTGTTGCAGGGCGTGCCACCAACACCTTCGGGGAGGATGAACTTCCATGGGAGAACAGTAAGTACTCGCCGCGGTGGTCCGCACTCTCGTTTTTGTTGTTTGTTTTTCCGCTGAGTGGGAGGTGGTTGTGTTGTTGTTTTTGTTTGGCTCTTCTTTCACGTGGCGCCGCCCGGACCCAGGGGCGCTGCCCGAGGGTGTTTGCTCGCTCAGGAAATTATCACAATGAGGGGAGAGTGGGAGGAGGTGCAGGGGGAGGAGGCTGCGGGAGACGAGGAACAGGAAACAGCAAATGACTCTGATTTATACTGCAGGACTACATCCGGTGCGGCACTCTTTTGTGAGCAGCCCCGCGTGTCTCCTGCGCGAGCGCCTCTCTGCGAGCGCCTCTCTGCGAGCGCCTCTCTGCGAGCGCCTCTCTGCGAGCGCCTCTCTGCGAGCGCCTCTCTGCGAGCGCCTCTCTGCGAGCGCCTCTCTGCGAGCGCCTCTCTGCGAGCGCCTCTCTGCGAGCGCCTCTCTGCGAGCGCCTCTCTGCGAGCGCCTCTCTGCGAGCGCCTCTCTGCGAGCGCCTCTCTGCGAGCCCTCGCGCCTCTCTGCGAGCGCCTCTCTGCGAGCGCCTCTCTGCGAGCGCCTCTCTGCGAGCGCCTCTCTGCGAGCGCCTCTCTGCGAGCGCCTCTCTGCGAGCGCCTCTCTGCGAGCGCCTCTCTGCGAGCGCCTCTCTGCGAGCGCCTCTCTGCGAGCGCCTCTCTGCGAGCGCCTCTCTGCGAGCGCCTCTCTGCGAGCGCCTCTCTGCGAGCGCCTCTCTGCGAGCGCCTCTCTGCGAGCGCCTCTCTGCGAGCGCCTCTCTGCGAGCGCCTCTCTGCGAGCGCCTCTCTGCGAGCGCCTCTCTGCGAGCGCCTCTCTGCGAGCGCCTCTCTGCGAGCGCCTCTCTGCGAGCGCCTCTCTGCGAGCGCCTCTCTGCGAGCGCCTCTCTGCGAGCGCCTCTCTGCGAGCGCCTCTCTGCGAGCGCCTCTCTGCGAGCGCCTCTCTGCGAGCGCCTCTCTGCGAGCGCCTCTCTGCGAGCGCCTCTCTGCGAGCGCCTCTCTGCGAGCGCCTCTCTGCGAGCGCCTCTCTGCGAGCGCCTCTCTGCGAGCGTCGCGGACTCACCGGGCTCGCCGAGCTCCGCCGAGCGCGCGGCGGGTATTAGAATTCCTACGCTTTACCGTCGCTCATATCTCGGTAAAGCGTGTTGAATTCTGAAACTCGCTGCGCGCGCCGTCGACCACTTCATCAGGACCTCCAACGAGCACGACGAGGACGACGGCCCGACGGAGTGTGTGTGTGTGTGTGTGTGTGTGTGTGTGTGTGTGTGTGTGTGTGTGCGTGCGTTCTGGCGCGCGCTCCAGTAGGGCATAAGGCGTGCGCACACTGGGTTAGGCAGTTCGGGACACTTCCGACGCGACGGAAATGGAGATGGCTCCGATCTGCAGAGGGGATTGGGGGGGGGGGGGGGGTAACGTACTCGAACAATTTGTACCTGTCCAGATGGACGGGCGTGGTGCGGCGCCGCTGGATTGAATTGAGCTGGAGACGGATGACGGGCTGGTTGAATGATGATGCTCTGCATTCCAAAGAAGTGTGTGCGCGTGTCTGTGTGGAGCAGTCTGCCACTCTGTGCCGGTCGTGGACCTGATTAGCGACTCGCCACTGTTAACCTGTTCCCTTCCTTGCTTTCCAGGTGATTTGGCAAGCGCGAGGGACAGGATGGTGTTTACAAACAGGAGTAAGCCATTTTTTTAATCATTTTTTTTTGTTGTTGTTGACGATTGGTCCTATATGATTGATTGAATCGTATGTAATGTGTGCTAGCGTACTCCGTTTACTTAAGAAACGTGACGGTAATTTTTGTGTGTTGTGTGTGTGTACTTAAATGCAGACCTCTCGGTGTGGAGGGCGAGTTTTGTACTGAGTGAACGTAGCACACCCATGCCGGTTGTACGGCAGTAACGTAGTTACACCCTTGAGCTTTTGAGTGCCACGTTTCTCTCGCCGCTGCCACACTGTAGGCAGCGTGGACCGGCGGTTCGCACGCATAGCATGCCCCTGTTTGAAACACCCCTACCTCTTGGACTGAAAGCCTCGTGACCTGAGGCGTGTGCCTCTGTGTGTGTCCGTAATGTTGTCGCCTTTTTCTCGCACTCCGTCTTTTTTATGTTCGTTTTTGTCTCTTCCTTAATGAGGTAAGTCTGTGAATTCGCAGGGACTGCTCGTCCGACTTTCGGCCCTACTTGAGGCTCGTTGCCATAATTGTCTTAATTAATCTATTGTGAGCACTCTCGGCCATTGGCACGGCGAACTGAAGGCCGAGGCTCTCTCTCATTTTACTCGCAGTGCAATTAATAATTTCCGCAGGAACTGGCGACTCAAGTTTATACAGGCAAGTCTAACTATCCATAAATTGGTGCCGTTGTCATGGCAACCGAGCCGCATGGCTGTCTCTGGCATTGCCTGGCGTGGCCTGGCAGGCTCTGGCATTGCCTGGCGTGGCCTGGCAGGCTCTGGCAGGCACTGTGTTCACCGGAAAACAAGGAAAGCGTGTCCGCAGTGTAGCTGCCGAGCAAATCCCTCCCCAGCAGTTCGTCGTTGACGTCATGCGACACGAGGATGGAGATGCGAGCCGGGCCGAGCGAGCCGAGCAAGCCGAGCCGAGCGGGTTTAGCAGGGCGGTTTAGCAGGGCGAGCCGGGCGGGGCCGGGATTGGAACCCGACTACAAAATACGAAGTCTGCGCGACGTGTATCTTTGCACAGCGTCGCCGCGTCCGAAGCTGCCCCGCCACCTTCGGTCCTTCGGTCGGTAGAGTCATTCCGGACAACGCTTTCGCCCCTCTGTCTCTCTCTAACTCATTGGGCGTTCCGCATAGGTGCGAGAGAGACGGAGCGGAACCAGGCTGCAGGCGTCGCCCTCAACAGGGCGTCGTCGTTAGGCGCGCCTGTCCGTAACAACCCCGTTTCGTCTCGTCAGACTCGAACTAGGCCAGCGCCGCCCGGCCGCCCCGCCGCCCCGCCTGTCGCCCAGAATTTGGCGGCTTTAGCAGCCGAGGCTTTGGCAGTGCCCTGCACGGCCCCGGAGTCGGTCGCCCCCGAGTCCCCGAGTCCCCGAGTCCCGCAGTTCCGGATGCCGGCGTGCCTGACGGGACTGCACAACCTGGCTGGCCTGGCTCGACCTGGCAGGGGAACCACTGTGGGAACTGGGTCGCGGCACTTTCGCGCAGCCCCAGCGGGAAGGTCGCGGGGACATTATTTTCGCCCCTGATGTCACGCGGTGGCTGTTTCATGCGATCGGTTGATCCCGAACCGCGGTACGCCCAGTGGCCGGTGATCTGGCGCAGAGTTGGCTAGAAGACCGGCGCAGGCGGCCAAAACTCTTGACGCGTTTTGAGCTCCAGAGTCGCTAAACAGTTCTCGAACCGAACTTGTGACCCCACCAATGGATTCCGCGTTCGGAGAGCCATCCATTGGTGGGGTCACAAGTTCAGTTCGAGTCCCATTTAGCGACTCTGAAGCCCAAAACGCGTCCGGGATTTCGGCCGCCTGCGCCGGTCTTCTGGGCCACCGCCGTGCGGCCGTCCGCAGCTCGGCCGCAGCGCGCAGGGCGCACCTGGCGCGCCCGGCCGGCCACAACTTTGTGCCCAGGTCCGCCATTATTGCTCGTAATCGCAGCCCGAAGGGCCGCAGGGAAAGTAGCTGTCGAGGCCATCCGGGCTGAGCGGCAGGCCGAGCTGCGGGCCGAGCGGCGGGCCGAGCGGCAGGCCGAGCTGCGGGCCGAGCGGCGGGCCGAGCGGCGGGCCGAGCGGCAGGCCGAGCTGCGGGCCGAGCGGCGGGCCGAGCGGCGGGCCGAGCGGCAGGCCGAGCTGCGGGCCGAGCGGCGGGCCGAGCGGTGGGCCAGGCCGTGGAGTACGAGCCGACGGCCCGTGAGATATGACGGTCACGTGACGCCGATTTATTCCCAACGGCCAGCCCAGGCCGGGGCGGGGCGGGGCGGGGCGGTCCTCAGCCTCACCTGCGCACGCCGCCAACACGCCGCCACCGAGGCCGTCAGACTCACCGACACCGCGACAGGGATCTGTCGCCTTTCATTCGACCAACCGGGCGAAACGTCGCCGATTCCGGGTGACGCCGTAGAATAACAGGATCGACACGCACGCGGCAAGCACGCGGCACGCAACGCCTGTGCAGCCGCCGTTCAAAATCAGCGCAAAACACGACATCCGTTTACCCCACTGTACGGAGCATCGGAGTCATATCGTAAAAATCTGCGAAGAAATTCTCGGAACGGAGTGTGATCAGCAATTTAAAAAAAACCAACGCCAGCACCAAAACACAACGTCCGCCTGCGCTTTGGCTCACTTCCCTCTATTTTACCAGCTGGTCAAATCTCAGACGTGTGCTTGCGTCTTTTCTTTTTAGCCGTTCTCGACGGTATATATTTCCGGGCCGCGAGTGTTTCCGGCAGGGCAGGTGAGAGGCGCGCAGGCACACCGCTAGCGGAGCTCGGCGGACGGAGCACAGCCGAGCAGTGTGGAGCCGCCCGTCCGATCCCTTTGCGCACCCCTTCGCGATCCTATTTATGCACATGGCGCGCTAACCCACTGACACACACACACACACACACTGAGGTGGGGATCGACAGGCGTCCCAGTGCGCCCTTCTCTCGCCCGGAGCCCTCGGAGCCCTCCGGTGCCCCGCGCGAGGCTACGCCGGGCTACGCGGAGCCGGAGGAGGAGGAGTCGTTTCCGGTGCGAGTAGGATTCATGGGGAGGCATGGGCCGCTGGCACAGCGGCGGCGGCGGCAGCAGCAGCGGCTTCGGAAACCATTCCGGCTGACCTCGAATCCCTCAGCGCTCCGTCGCGGCTGGCAGGGCGGGGCGGGGCGGGGCGGGGCGGGGCGGGGCGGGGCGGGGCGGGGCGGGGCGGGGCGGGCGGGGCGGGGCGGGCGGGGCGGGGCGGGGCGGGGCGGGGCGGGGCGGAGCCCACTCGACGGAATTCACGAGTCCGTCGTTTCGTCTCGCGTTTTGTTGCACGCCGCGTCGAGCGCCGCGCTATCCTTGAGTGCCGGTCCCCGCCGTGGCCCCGCCTTGGCCCCGCCCGCCGTTCCCACGCAAAACTTTGTAAATCTTGGCACTGTTTCCCGAAAACCTCGCGCGCAGACATGAATCAAGCTGCATCCCGGGGCCCCGCGCCCTGGCCCGCGCTCCATGTCGGCGCCAGTGCGTCGGTGTGGGTGCGACCTGCCACGTCCCGCGGCCTGACGGCCTGACGGCGTCAGCACGACTGCCAATTGTATTGAAGGTTAAGCTAAGTGAAGATCCCTGTCCCGCTAAAACCGCGCGCTGGCCTCCCCTTGCCGGCGGGGCGGGGCGGGGCCCTACCTGGGGGCTCATGGGGCGGGGCGCCCCAGCCAGCCAGCCGCTGTTGATCCGCTTTATTTTATCTCCCCCGTTTTTACTTTTCTTCCCCCGCTCGCTGGAAATGGCAAGAGTGTAAGTCAGTGACGACAGCACAATGGCCGCTTCCGACTCCAGATATACTAATCGCCGGCGTACAAAGGGCTGGCCGGGTCGCGGGCGCGCCTCACTGCCCGCCCAGCGAAGGCACGCCCCGCCCAGCGAAGGCACGCCCCGCCCCGCCCCGCCAGCGCGCTCTGCCAGCATCCCTTAGAAAGTACTTGGACGGTATTACTGCCGAAATAGCCGAGTGGAATCGGCGCGGGGCCGCGGCTGCCGGGCAGCTGCGCGTCGGTTGGAGCCAAAAGGCGGCGGCTTGGCCCGGCTTGGCCCGGACGCCCGGCCGCCGGACGGACGCCTGGAAGGAGATTAACGCGCACCGTTCCACAATTAATGGTACCTGCTGGAATCTATTAGCCCGACGACAATTTACGGCTGTCGTTTTCGCTCGCTTCCTCTTTTTCGTTCGGGCGCGCAAGACGCGGCTTGTCCGTGTATTCGTGGCGCAGTGGCCCCCGCGACCCCTCGGCCCTTCGGCCGCCAAGCGGACTGCGCCGAAATTAGTATCCGAGGGGCCTCTGCAGTCCAAACGGCGCTCTCTGTCTCTCTCGCACGCATGGGCCTTCCCGTACGAGTGCGAGAGAGAGCGACAAGCGCTTTCCGGAATCAGTCTGCCGGGCCGGCTGGGCCGGCTGGAGCTGCTGGGCTCGCGGGAAGATAGCTTCCGATAACAATGGCATGGCACTCAGTCTTACGGGACCACAAAAGCCCGCAGCCAGATTGGCCCCGGGTTCAAATACCAGCGCCAGCGGCGCAGACTTTTCTCCCTTCTCCCCCGCGCGCGCGTAAATTGCAGAGTGGCCCCGATCGGATGACTGGTCAGACCACTCGGCGAGTGAAGGGCTATGCGCGGCGCGGCGCGGCGCGGCTCGGCTCGGCTCGGCTCGGCTCGGCGCGGTATCAGGAAGTTTTTGGCCCGTCCCGTTTTTCGAATTGGATTCACACGGTAGGCTGGCCGGCGCGGCGCAGCGCCCCCAATCTTAATTAAAAACGGACTTCTTGCTAAAACCAGCAGGCAGCCCCCAGCGCAGCCCTGCGCAGCCCAGCCCCGCCAAGCGTGTGTTGCTCCTCTCGTCTCGCGAGCCGCGCCGTCGGCAACTTTCCACTCTGGCCTGTGCGTGGGGGCGTGACGTGTGTGTGTGCGAGAGGAAGAGAGAGGGAGAGGGAGAGAGAGAGAGAGAGAGAGAGAGAGAGAGAGAGAGAGAGAGAGACAGAGAGAGACCGTATGTGTCCTTTCTGCGAAAGAGGGCGAAAAGTGACGAGAAGCAAGTTTCATGAAGCTATTAGCGTCCTCGCGCTCGGTTTACTTGTGCTTGGCCTATTTCGGTTACTACCCCCCCCCCTCTCTCTCACAAACACACACACACACACACACACACTCCTGCCTTGCCCTTCATTGGCAGAGCAGAGATTATTTGGACTCTTGGCGACTCTGCTCCCCCCACCCCTCCCAATCAACACCCTTGTCGCGGGCTGGCGGGGTGCCTCGGACTCTCTGTCTTCCCGTCTCTCTCGCCGGCGGGACGCCGCACGAGTGCAAGAGAGACGGAAAGACGACGGTTCTGTCCGGAATCGGCCTGCCCCCCGTCCGCAGGCAGTACCCTGGAGTAAATCTCGCGTCTATCTGAGCCCTAAACGCCCCTCTTACCTTTCGAGGAAGGGCAGGGAAGGGCGGGGCGGAGGGAGCAGCGCCTTCGCCTTCGGCCAGGTTGTGTCGGGGTGGCTTAGCCGAGCGGCGGAGCCACGCATCCGCGCTGTCTTTTCCGCCAGCTGGCGGCGACCTGGTCGCCCGGAGCCCGGAGCCGCCTGCGCCTGGAGCAAGCAAGCAGCCTCAAGCCTCTCAGCGCCAGGGCGAGGCAGGGCGAGGCAGGGCGAGGCAGGGCGAGGCAGGGCGAGGCAGGGCGAGGCAGGGCGAGGCAGGGCGAGGCAGGGCGAGGCAGGGCGAGGCAGGGCGAGGCAGGCGGACGCGCAGGGTCCCGCAGGATCAACAGGAGTCGCAGCGTTACCTGCCGGCAAAACGTCGGTCGCGCTTCCCTTTTATTCGTCGCGGCGGGCCCCGCAGGACTCCACAGGACCCCGCAGGACCCAGCCCTCGAGAAGGGGCCCTCCCCCTCCTCCCCCTCCCCCTGGGGACACCTCGACCTGGAATGGAGAGGCAAGCCAGAGGCAAGCGGCCTGAAAAATCGAGTCAGACATTTTTGAGAGATTGGCGTGTCACTTCGCGGATGCGACAGTCTGGATCCAGTGAGACGTGCGTGAGGGGAAGGTGGGGGAGGGGGTGGGAGGGGGCGGAGTGGAAAATGACAACAGGATGGCAGTGCGTGGCGCGAAGCGGCGCGAAGCGCGTCCTCGTCTCGGGTTATGAGTGCAGTTTAGTCACTTTTTGCCGCGTGCGGGTTTTGAAGCAGGCGCCTACTCCCTCGCCTACACACTCCCCCCCCCCCCGGACTTCTCCATAGAAATGGCGGGCGCGCACTCGCCGGCCGCGCGACTCCAGCGGAGCGTTGCGCCGGATTCAATGAGACGACAAGCTGGCAAATAAAACGAATCGGGAGCGCGCATGTCAGCGCCACTCTGTATGAATAGCCATGCCAAAGTGCACGCAAACAGACGCAAAAAGAAGTGTCCGTATTTAGCATCGTGTGTCGCCGCCGTTTTGCATGTCGATTGATCGAACCACCACCGTAGCGATGTGTGTACGGCCACGTGCGTAGTTCGCACGGGGTGAAACTGACACCGTCAGAAGTAGAATTAATTGAAACGGAGCAATCTTTTTTTTTAAAAATAGGGTGGGTTTTTTGGCATAAGAGGTATATTTTAAGTTTTTCTTTTTTCTATGTTGCAGGAGATGACGACGACCGCTACCCGTCACGGGATGAGCACTACGAGCAGCTCAACCGTAAGTTGATCACTTCCCCACCCCTTCTTCTTTTTCTTCTTCTTCTTCTTCTTCTTCTTCTTCTTCTTCTTCTTCTTCTTCTTCTTCTTCTTCTTCTTCTTCTTCTTCTTCTTCTTCTGCGTGCGTTGTTTGTCTGGGTCCCAAGCAGCTCCCACGCCGGAAGCCGTGATGATGTTTTATCACTCTCTCTCTCTCACTCTGCATATCCTTCCCACCTGCCTCCTCGGCGCAGGAAAAGCAAAAACAAACAAAACAAAAGGCAGAAAGGAGTGCAAAGTCGTGTCGTGGCGGCGCGGCCTCTCCTCTCACTTTGTGTCGAAACAAAACTTAACGAATGCGACGCCCGATGCCCGATGATGCACGGTGGCGGGGCACGGCACGGCACGGCACGGCGCGACGGATCGAGGCGGACCCCGAGCCAATGCCGTGAACGGCGCCGTCGAATGAGTGCGACAGAGACCATCAATCACTGGGCCGATGGTTGCCGTGGAAACACTCGCACACACACACTCACCCCTACACCTACACACACAGACGGACACGGGGATGACACACTGTGTCCGTCCAAGGCGGCTTTTGTGCGTGTGTGTGTGTGTGTGTGTGTGTGTGTGTGTGTGTGTGTGTGTGTGTGTGTGTGTGTGTGTTTTGCAGCGTCCAACCCTTCTTCCTGCTCCGCCCCACGCGGGCTGCACGGCGGAGATTTGGCAACGTGTGCCGCTGGGGGGCGCTACGCTACGCCGCTTTCTCTCTCTCTCTCTCTCTCTCTCTCTCTCTCTCTCTCTCTCTCTCTCTCTCTCTCTCTCTCTCTCTCTGTCTCCCTCCGGGCGTGCCGCAGCGTGCCGCGCCATGGCCGTGGCGCCATCTAGCGGCCGCAATCCCAACTAGGCGTGGCGCCCGCTCTCTGCCCTGACAGCTCTCACACCGGCAAGGCGGGGCGGGGCGGGGCGGGGCGGGGCGGCCGTGGCGGCGATACCGTGGAATTAAGGTGGAGAGGCTGGCTCGTTGTTAGCGCTCCAGTGTCCGTCCATCTCCTGAATGGGGTCCAGGAAGCTGATGTGTACGCCCCTGTGTGTGTGGCGTGTGTGTGTGTGTGTGTGTGTGCGTGCGGTCCGTGTTGGTGGGCGTTTTATTGCGGTGTGGATGGATACATTGTGGGCGCCAGGCTATGCGCCAGGCTGCCCTAGGCCCGCCCAGGACTCAGTAAAATGGCGAAGGGGGTGTGGTATGTCGCGGATGGGGCAGGATGGGGCGTCCGCGCGCACGACGCGCACGACGCGCACGCAGCAGCGAGTTGTGTGTTGTGTTGTTTGTGGCCGCGCGCGTGTGTGAGTGTGAGTGTGTGTGTGTGTGTGTTGCAATCGCGGAGAAGTGGCGCAGCGACTGCCTGCCAGTCACGTACTGCGCCGAGGGGGTGGGAGTATCTTCTCTATAACGCCGTCCCTCAAAGCCCGGCCCAGACCGCCCGGCTGGCTGCCTGGCTGCCTGGCCGGCTGGCTGAGCGCCGATGGCCCAATGGCTCTTCCAAGAGCTCCAGGAGCTCCAAGAGCTCCAAGAGCCAATACCCCGGGGCCGGAAGTAATCCCGGTGGCAGTAGAGTGGGAATAAAAACTCGCCTAAGCTACTCGTGCATTCTTTTTTTGTTGTTGTTATTCCTTTTCGCTCCGTGCCAAGTTTGTTCAGGTAGCGCGGAAGAGAGTCCCTGCGTCACTGCACTGTATGGAGTGGGGCGTTTGATGAGACGCAGCCCCTGCAGCCGACGTGCGAGGCGAGCGAGTCGCAAACTCGCTCTGCCAGTCGGGGCCGTCGGGGCCGTCGCACAGAGGGCGCGCGTGTGCGTGCGTGCGTGCGCGTGCCGTGGCGTGCCTGCGCACGAACCGTTTTATCTGTGCAACTCGGTCGCAACGCGCGTGCGAAACAGGTGGCATGTGTGTGTGTGTGTGTGTGTGTGTGTGTGTGTGTGTGTGCGCGTGTGTGCGTGTGTGTGTGTGTGTGTGTGTGTGTGTGTGTGTGGTGTGTGTGTGTGTGTGTGTGTTTGAGCGGCGCTCGCAAAGTTGGTTCAACTCCTCTGCTGCCGTGCTCCGACCCCGTGCCCCTGCGCCGTGCCCCGGCGCCGTGCCCCCCGCTGTCAAGACCAGCTCTCTCGCTGATCCCCAAGCCCCGCGCTCGCTGCATCCCAAGTCGGCGGGCGGCACGTCGCGGCCGTCCGGGCCGTCGTCGCCGCCGCGCTGGAACGACGCGACCGATGCGGCGCCGTCGTGGCCGTGATGGCCGTCATGGCCGTGGAGCAGCGCCAGTCGTTGCAGCCTTGCGAGTATAATTGGCGGCGCGCGACGACAGTAGTGTCATTGTTTTCGTTAGCGGAACGGCGTGGCCGGGCGTGGCCGGGCGTGGCCGGGCGTGGCCGGGCGTGGCGTCCACCCCACCACACCAATTCGAGCCACAGCGCCGTAATAAAATCAAATCAGCCAAATGGAGGCCGCGTCGCTTCTCTCTCTCCCTCTCACTGTAATCCCGAAGCCTGGTCGTTACCTCGTTTGTGCGGTACGTACACTCTAAATTTAGGGTGTCCAGAAACTGGGCGCCTTTGTCGCCCGCCCCACTTTTTAGGGTGCCAAATGTCGCCCAGTTTCTGGGCACCTTTGTCGCCCAGTCTAGGGGTGGACAATCCACAAAGGAACCTGCCTTCACCCATGGCTCAGCAGCGACTAAGGTGCCAAAGGTGCCCCGAATCTGGGCACCTTACGTCACCCAGGAACTAGACACCTGTGCATGCATCCTCTACCATGGGAGAGGGCCGGTTACTGTATGATTTGTCCACCCCGAGACTGGGTGACAAAGGTGCCCAGAAACTGGGCGACATTTGGCACCCTAAAAAGTGGGGCGGGCGACAAAGGAGCCCAATTGCTGGGCACCCTATATTTAGAGTGTACTCATTGGAGCGTCGTTCTGTGCGCCACGGTTTTGCCCCTCTTTTATCCGAACCTATTTTGCTTCCCTCAACCTCTTCTGCCTCTGGGATGGCTGGGGTGGGGGGTCGTTCCACGCATGTACTCACTACGTGAGCTAAGCACCCCTGAATTAAATATTCTGTAAGCGTGCTTGTAATATTGTGGTGACGGTGGGCGCGCGGCCCACGCCCTCCCTCTCCCCCCCTCCCCTCCCCTCTCCCATCAAGAGTTGTGTCGTTGCGTCGGCCGGGTCCTCTGCCTGCCTTTACATTTATATGGGGAACTTGTTCAGCTCGGTGCGAACAGAACGCACGCAGTGTTATTCTCAGCAGGATTGTGTGATTCCCCCCTCCTATTTTTTTTCTTGTATCGAGCAGCATATTTTGGGTTGGTATACTGTCCCTGAGACCCTTCGCGCCACACACACGCACGTATCTACACATACACTCACACACACACACACAACGCACACTCACACCACAGCAAAGGCGCTCACACTTCCAAGCCACACACCCCATTCGCCACATCGAATCTTCCGATCTCTTTCTCATCCAGCACTTTGGAGAGGCGGTGCCGGCCCGTGGGGGCTGGAGGGGGGAGAGGGGGGAGGAGGGGCACTTCCTTGTGGACGTTGTTGATTGCCTCCCTCTTGCTGCAGCGTGCCCGTGCGGGCCGTGAAGGCCGTGCGCGCGGTGCGGGCAGCGCGCGCCGCGAGGATGAGGGATTGCGTTCAAAGTGGAAAGGATGCGAGCTGAAATAAAAATACACAAAGAAAGCTAATTGAAGGCGCTGCGTGCTTCTGGTGGAAGCTGCAGCTTGCCGAGACTCACCACATTTTTTTTTTGTTTTTGCCAATTCGTCTCGGTTGCGGAAAATGAACCGCTGCCGCCGTGTTTTCAATGTTTTCCTCGCGGCGCGTCCACGGCTCGTCGATCGCGCTGCTGATTCGGCCCGGGCTTTGTCGGCACGACCTAATCTATTTTTTTCGGGTGTAGGGCCTGGAGAAGTGGTTGGTAAATGGATGGCATTAATTCACAGGCACAGCCTCGGCACGGCCTGGGCCACGCCACGGTCTGGGCCACGCCACGGCATGGCCCCGGCCTGCGCCATCCGGCAACTAGCACACGCCGCGCCGCCCACATAGCCGACCCTCAAAATCCCTTTTTGTCCCCGAATATATCCCGGCGCTTTCAGCGCAAGCGAATTCATTGAATTATGCCACAGCGATGAGGTTGTTGTTGTGCACTGAAGCAGAGTTTAATCTACTTTACCGTGTGTGTGTGTGTGTGTGGGCGGCTCGACATAAGCCCCTCAGGCCGGCCGCGCGCGATAGTGGCACGGCACTGCCACGGCACTGCCATGATGGTGGCCGTGTTCATGTTGCGAGCGTCACTCGCTTTTAGCGGGAAAAGGTGTCGCGTTTTTTTTTTAATCAATTTATTTTTTTATTTTTTTGCGGCGTCCGGGTCGGTGCACCGCCCCGCCCGATGCCGCGGCATCGCCGTCTGCTGCTTACAGCGAACGCGGCGCTGGAAGCAGCTAGCCCCAATTAAAAGTTTAGAGACTGTGTCACGGCGGATGAGAGATGGAGAGAGAGAGAGAGAGAGAGAGAGAGAGAGAGAGAGAGAGAGAGAGAGAGAGAGAGAGAGAGAGAATTCCTCTGTCCGTCCATCGCGGCGTCGCGGCGTCGCGCGGGTCAGGACACCCGAGAGGCAACTTGACGTCGTGTCGTTTGAGAATACGAGACAACTTTCGGCCCGAGTTTGGAAGCGCGCCTCTGGAGGGGTCTGGCCTTGGGTCTGGCCGGCCGGACGGCTCGCCAAGGCCCGCCAAGGTGCGACGACGATTCTGGCCCGCCAAAACCCTCCCCCATGCCGTCGAAAAAACGGTCCCCTCTTCCCCGCGATCCCCATCGCCATTCTGGATCTGTTTTGGAGGCACATCGACGACCGGGACGACCGGCGGCGGCGGCTGGGTGAGTGACAAGCCTTGTCTGCCCCACCTGCACACCGCTGCTGGCAGAGGCCAGGCCGGCCCGGGCAGACAAACAGG